AGTATTTTAGCGCCTTTTAATGTTAATGTTATTTAGAGCCCTCAAATCAGTCTCTAGCTTGTCCTTAATCTATAATACTTTAAAAACAAAACAAAGAAGTGAGACGTAAACGTCGTGCACTTTGCGACTCTGTGGCATGTTATGAAAGGTCAATGTTACGCGTCGGCCTCCGGTTCGCTCCCGAGCTGCGGACGCCGCGCGCCTGCGGCCCGCAGTGCGGCACCAGCACCAGCGGCGCTGCAGGATGGGTTGCCTACCTCGCGGGAGCGCTCCGCCTCACCCTATCCATGCCTCTGTGCGTTGCAGGGAGAAGCTCACGCACGTCAACACCACGTTCCACGAGAACGGCACCATGACGTACATGGCGGTGAGGCAGGCCATCTTCCTTCCGGAGCTCAACACGCTCAGCCTTAACGACACCCTCACCGTGCCCAACCTGGCCGTCTTGGTACGAGCATCGACAGTTTACTATAGTACCGGTCACTTTTGCGTTTGAGAATTAAACAAAAGTACGCCGATGTCACTCACATCCGAGCTCGCATCACCATGTCGCCATGGCGTCGCGGGTATACAGCGTCTTGCCCAACGGTGCGTTTGATTCTTTGGTCTGCTGCAGGGCATGGCGTCGTACCTGCACGACGCCTCCTTCTTCACCAAGCTGGCCTTCAACGTGATCCTGCAGCGGCTCGACTCCAAGCCCCTGGCAAACGTGACCGTCCAGGAGTACATGTGGAACCTGACAGACCCGCTGGTGGACGTGACGCGCAAGCTGGTCCCCCACCTGGTGCCCGTCGAGAATATGGGTGTCCTGCACACGGTCAGTAGCATGTCAGCCCACACCAAAAGTGTATGGAACATGACTTCCCTCGAGATGAAATTTTCGCTCGTTTCTCCTACGCTGCCGTGTTAATTTAAGGGCCCGTTCGCTAGCCCCCTTCTACGCGGGCACTCGTGGAGAAGGGCAAATCGCCAATTAACTTCACCGATATTGTGACTGTGACCATTTTTTGGCGCAAATGACGCAACTATGATCTTTGTTTCACCAGTTTCACTGTTTTGGCCTTTGAGTAACCTGCCTTGCTAACCTCGCAGATCTACAACGACTTCACGGACGAGGTGTCCGTGTTCATCGGGCCGGAGAACGAGCGTCGCTTCTTCCAGATGGACCGCTTCCACGGCGACCGGAACCTGGGCTGGTGGCCCGCCGACCGCTGCGACTCGGTGTACGGCAGCACGGAGGGCGTCTCGTACCACCAGGGCGTCCTGGCCGACGACGAGCTGCGGTACTTCCGGAAGACGCTGTGCCGCGTCACCCCGCTCTACTTCGCGCGCGAGGAGGAGCGGCTCGGCATGAGGGCGCTGCGCTTCGAGCTCCCCGACGACGTGTACGACCGGCCGGCCAACGCCACGCCCGAGACGGACTGCTACACGAGGCCATACCAGAAGCCGCTGCCGTCCGGGCTCACGGACCTCGCCCCCTGCTACTACAGTGAGTGCGGGTACACGCCCACATGGTGGGGATAAAGTTGTAGATGATCAGTTTAACGACGACTGTCAGGGTTAGTTCACAACGCTGGAATTTAAAAAAAGTTGTCGACCCAAAACAATTCTAGCTTATGCAATCATTTAAACACCGATAAAGATGTGAATATGTCGAAAACTTTTCGTCTGCCTGCAGATTTCCCGGTGGCCGCCTCCATGCCGCACTTCTACAGTTCGCCGCACCTGCACGAGGTGGTGGGCGGCATGCAGCCGGACCGCAGCAAGCACCACTCCTACGTCATCGTCGAACCGGTGCGTTCCACATTCACTAAAAGTGTACAAAGCTCTCGGTATGACACTGTATTGTGTGGTATTGGCGGGTGTTCAGCGGGTATTGTAAATTCACCCATTTGATAGCATATTTTTTTTAATACCGCATAATTCAGGTTACGGCCCTAATACATACTCAAGACGTACATTTTTCAAAAGAGAGAAAAGAAAATGAGATTTGATTCGTTGTTAATTAATTGTCTTTCTTTTCAGACGACAGGAGTGCCGATGAACGCCGCAGCCCGGAGTCAGTCGAATCTGATCGTGCACGACGTGGGCGACATCCACGGTGTAGGGAGGTTCTCCAACCAGGTCATCCCCATGTTCTGGGCCGAATACGTAAGTATTGTGCCTGTGCGCGCGTAACGTACCGACCGACACGAGGGGGCAATAACTCCGGGAATCATCAGGATAAAAATTAATCGAAATCAACTGAAATCGCTTAAACTAAGCGGGAAACTAGTGAAACTAATACCACTTAGTCGAAATAAGCGTTTTCTACCAACAGAAAACCTAAAGAATAAATATAAGCGGACAGGAATCACCGGGAATCACTGGGAATCAAGAATTTCGGGAATCACGTGTACACATCAGAAGGGAGTTATTGCCCCCTCGGACCGACATGAGACTTGACGTGTGTGCTTCCCGTGTGCCCCAGAACCAGGTCGGGCTTCCGTGGTACATCCAGTTCACCATGTACTTCACGGTGATGGTGCTGCCGTGGTCGCAGCGCCTGTGCACGGCCGCCATGATGCTGGCCGGCGTGCTCATGGCCGTGCTGGGCTACCGCCGCGCCGCGCGCCGCCACCGCGCCGTGCGCAGGCGGCTCCTCAGGCGGAAGGCCGCCGCCGCCAAGGCAACACCGCTGTCGTCCTACAGCTCGCTGGACCTCTTGCCCTCCTCGTCGGGGTCCTCGACGGGGGCGTCGTCGGCGGCCTCAACGAGCGGGTCAACGGCGGAGACACCCCTGTCGTCGTCCAACTCGTCCTCGTCAGAGAGGGTAGCCTCCAGCTAGACACGTTTTTTAAATAATTTATTTCTTTCGGTGCTGAATCGGTTCCGGGGAGGGTCGCTGCCGCGTCCAACTGGGACTGTGATGGACCGAGGACCAAAGTTCCTTTCGCACGGGGTGGCCCAGTCATGCCCCAGTGCTCAACCCTGCAGTCCGTCCCTAGTTTTGCGTGTACAAGCGGTCTGCTGGAGCGAGCAAAGTAGTTCGTAAGAATGGCTCGTTGAAGACTGTTTTTTGTATAGGCCTCAAACGAAAGAAAATATACCCACTGAGGTATAAACTTCCAAACGATACCGAAACCACATCGTTTCGATGTTGTCTCACTGGAAAACGGAGGGCCGGCGGCGTTCTTCCTAGCTAAGACTGGTTCCATGTTGCTTTCTAGCAGTGAGCGAGATGTTATCTGGTAATTTTGAATTCCTGTTTTAAGGTGGCTCTTTTCTTAGCACAACTACCAGCATAGAGAAATGTCACAGTCCAGACGCAGAGTACTGACGCACGGAACGTAACTTTTCCCGAGGCAGAGCGCCTGCAAGGCGAAGGATATACCAACCCGCAAAGCAGCTGTGTAGGGCGGCCCAGACTGAGTGTCCAGTCATGTGGGTGGACTTGGGCCGTCTGCAAAGGGAACGCTTGTCGTGTTGCACTCCACGTTCACAGTACGTAACCTTTAAAAAAAGGGGGGGGGGTGTAAAAAGTCGCCGACCCCATGTCCATTGCTAAACCCAATAACACGTGTGCCTGCTGTGAGCCGCAACCGTTTGGTGTCGTCCCCCAGTAATAGGAAATGGCCTAATTCCGCTACCGCGACAGTCCTAATAAAACATCAGCGACCAAAGTGTACCGGGCTTATTATTTACCAAAGCGGTGCTAATGCAAGAAGCTCATAAATAGAATTTTATAGTCATGACTATGGCAGTGATGTTTTTATACAGATTCAATCATGTCCGTGTCTGTCCCTATGTAAACGCCAAATTTATAAGAACAATCACATTTTTTTTAAATACCGGGTTCCGCTTGGCAATTAGAGGTCTCTAAGGAGAAAGACCTCAATTTGAGTTTGGCATGTCAAATGACAGAAAAAAATCGAATCAGTAAGAGGTGGGCAGGTCAACAGGGTCTTATTTTTAAGCGGGTAGGTAGCTGTAATAATTCAGTCCAAAATCCCTTAAGCATGCTTAAGTTAGAAAATATTTTATTTGATGTTATTACCATAGTAGGGAACTTTTTCAAAGTCTGCTCCTGAATTTGTTGAAAGTTGGCCGATGAGGAAACAAGAATGGTCTGTTCTCACTCGTCAAGGCTTTGTAAATGTCATTTTCTTTCGCAAATCTAAACTATTTTAAGGATAAAATGTGTACCGTAACAATATCGTAAATTCTTGGGTAGATAATATGAGCTGCTTCGTTATATGAATTTCAATTATTAGAGATGTGAGTCAGCAAAATTGTGCACATTGAATTATCATGTCGAATTGCTTATGCCTTGTGGTTTGTTTAATTTTTATCAAATTGATTTAGAAACTAGTTACACATGTTATGTTGTTCCATACATTGCTCAACACACCAAAACTGCGGGTACAAGTGTATTTTGTCATCTATTTGTACAAAGACAACCCTTGTGGAACAAGGGCCTCTCACATACATGTACGATTTAGGAAGGGCACTTTTATTGTCACCCTTGAGCCCTTATTACCTTAGGTTTAAAAGTGATTAGTAGTTATGTTTTGTCTGTGATTACTATTTTATACCGCCTAAAAATGTTAAATAATACACTTTTCATGTAAGAAAGCAATAAATATTTCTATCAACAAAGGTTTCCTTATTCTTTGACTTAATGCTTATTTCTCCCCGGCCTTTCTGTTTCAATACAGATAAATGCCTGAAGAGCGATAAAGCGTATCAAATGCATGGCTCCGCAAAAGTACTCGCCTCTTGCACCCACCCATCGCCACACAAGGCATTCCCTGTACACCGCCCAACTGTCGTCCATAGCGAATCCCACCGGAGCGCCCGCGAGGTATGCGAGCCCGCCGCGCCCCACTGCTGACCCGGTGGCCTACCCCGCCACCGTTAGGCGCTCCGCTTTAGCTCCTCTCGTCGCTATCGCTGCTCTGGAAGTGTCTGTGGTCCGCATGGCAAAGACTAGTTCTTAAAATACAAATTAGTTTCAATGCTATCCATTTAAAAAAAAAATCACCACGTCAAATAGAAATGAATCGGGAAAGTTTTAATAATCTTTGTTTGATAATGACAACGTAACATTAACCACAGATACGCTTTAAATTATTAATAAAACATTTTTACGTATCCGTATTTATCAAATTTAGGGGTGCAAACGAGCGCGCTCCGGCTTCGCTCTCTCGATCCTTGAAACCACTCGACGTCTCCGCCGTCATGATGTGGTGGTGGTGGTGGGAGGACAGAGGCTTCGGCTTACATCGTGGCTTCAACCGAGGCTTCAACGCTAGGACAGGACAGGGTGTGTATGACACGAGCCGCAAACCACTTCCACAGACGAGGGAAAGTAGCTCCGAATGGTCCGTTGTTGCAGCAAGCAGGCAGCCATCTCTGAGCACGGAATATCTTTGAATGGACGTTCAAGGACGAGCCGCCTGAGGGCCTGCAGATCGCACGACGCCAGAATCTCACCCAGATCTGAATGGTAGTAGTCTGGATTATATTTCGTCTTGTCGTTGACAGGACAGTAAAGCTGGAGCGTCTGCAGAGACGATGCGAAGGCACGGACGAGGGACATCATGGTTGACTTGTTGGTTGAATCAAAGGCGACGCGCAGCCACAGCAGCTTCCCGTACTTAGAGGGGGGGAAGGTCAAACTTGGACCCTCGTAAGATCTTACATACAGACTGCGCAGATTGGGCATGCTCATCACATGTTCCAGCTGATCATCATTTACATTCCTTATGGATAGCTCCTCGAGCTGAAGCGGCAGGTCTGGGTACTCTGAGTCGTAGTCAAACTGCACGTGTAGTCGTTTCAAAGAAGAGAGTTTCTCAACCACCTCCATGACCCCCGGTACAACTTCACCCTTTATATGGAGCTCTTCGAGGTGCGGCAGGTGAGGGGCCAAAACCCGCAGCAGCTTGTCCGAGTCCATGCCCTGTAAGCCTCTGATAGCGCGAACATTTGTCCACCTATGTCCGACTCGCAGGATGTCATCCACCTTTAAGTGACCGTTGTCGAGATCCTTAGGAACAATGGAGAGAGCTGGGTACATAGGCGGACCGACGTACTCCGCAGGTGGGACAGGGACAGCAACGACGTCAGCCTGGGGAGAGGGAGAGGGCGGATGAGGCTACACTACACCAAAAAGATCGATGAATTTAACAGGCCGGCACGCTTGTCAGCTTACCTTTATTAGCTTGCCATCTCTTTGCAGCTGCAGCAACAAAAGCCGCAAGACGTCGCCGAAGCCGTCGCTGAGCTGAACAGCAGCCTTCCTGGTGGAGCCGTCGCCCTCCTCTGTGACGATGCTGCACTCGTTCGAGGTGAGTACGCTGAGGCTGTCCTCCATCTGCACCGCCACCTGCAGCTGCTCCGGCGTGGGGCACTCATCGCCGCCTGCCTTCCGCTGCACCTGCTGCTCCAGGGCCTGCTCCAGTTGGAGCAGCTGGGCGGCTGACGTGTCGAGCTGGCGGTTCAGCGCCTCCACGGCCTCCATGGCCTTGGGGACCGCCAGCCGCAGCGCCTCCACCACCTTCCTGCCCGCGTCCACGCCCCGCTGCAGCTGCTGCACCTCTGGATCTTCTTTTCTAGACCTCTTGCGGGGTGGTTCGCCATCGTTCTCGATCAATCGGATGACGATGTTGTTATCGGGGAGGTCGTCAGGTTCCACCGCAAAGTCCTGCGGGAGAAAGAGCACTAGTGATGCACACGGCTCAACTGCATACAGAGTGGGTGATCCGCGCTGCCTTTCTTTAAAACGTTCCCTGCGGCAAAATTTTAGTGCCTATGATTTAACATGGGAGCGTGACCACATAGTGGGGAACGTGTTAATGCTTATACTACCGGATTCACGCGTGCGGGCGGGCTTGCCTACCGTCGCTCGCCAGCGCGCCTTACGGCGCCGTGCGAGCGAACCCTCCGCACGTAAGAATCCGGTACAGTATAAGCATTAAAAAAAGACGGCGCGGATCGCCCGACATGTATAAATGACAATGACAGCAGTAATACTTTTATGGGAAAAACATTAACTGACAAAGGCAACTTTTAGCAGGTGATGCATAATATTAAATATAAATGTATGTAAAATTTGCTAGTGCTGTAGCGAGAGAGGGGGAGCCGGTTGTTAACTTTTCGCGTCGCCCCCTGTTCTTAGTATACAGGTCCGTCGTTCCGTCCCAACAAACACACTAGCCCGCATGCCGGGGTACCTATTCGCACGAGACCATAAGGCGCCATAGCTACAGATAAGTAGACAAACCCGCCCAAGCGCGGAATAAGGGGGAGGGGGCGATCGCCCTCCTGTCGTCTCCAGAGAGCCGCCTGAAAGGTAGACAATTTACGCCACAAAACCCCTGTATGCAGGCAACCCGCCCGCACCCGTACATGCGGGCTAATGCTAGTGCAAGTGATTGCTGGGACATGGCGAGCGAGCACAGTGACCACCCCGTACCCCGTATCTATGTGTGTGGCATTGTTGCTAATAATCGCCTCCTCCCCCCCCCCATTCCAAATGCGTCCGGCGCGTTCACTGTGAAAAATATTGCTTTGGAGCTGGGGAAAATGTGTCCGGGTGAGTGAGTGGCTGTCGCGCTGGGGCCCTTCCCTTACATAGGCTAACAATACTGTGCCGGGCAGACCCCTGCCCAACAATACTGGGCTACTGACGCCAGCCGCTCTGCCCTCCGCCCCCTGCCTCCTCTACACCGCTGTTTCGCCGAATATAGCGAGACTGCAAGTTACAAGCAACCATAAGCAAAAGACAGCTAAATATGAGAGAAAATTAGAACACAGACTACAGACCTCTTCTTAAAATTGTATCATCTGCTTACAACAAGATTGATTCCTGTTTTATTGTAGTGCCCACTAGACTCCATGATACTATCCTTTGTACCTCAAACTCTTGTACCTCTCAGTTCAATGGGATCAAGCAAGGACTTGACCATAGTGCGTGTTGTGCTTTTTTCTGACGCCGTCTACAATACATGGTCTACTCCCTACTACTACGCCCCACCAATATTGTGCTTTAAGCATTTCAAAATTTGATCAAAAAATAAGTATGGATAATTTGGAAAAGCCCCTAACCAAATTCGTATTTATAATCTGCTTTTAATGCCGATGTTGAATGGATTTTATTATTACTATTTTGTTTTGCTTTAAACAATAGTTTTAAGACCACTTTTCCACCAAACCATATAGTTCTTGCTATTAAAATTAATAAAAACAAAAAGTAAATAAATTAAAATATGATTTCTATTACTTCTATACCAATTTCAATTACTATCCTCTTCTTTCAAAATATAACAAGACAAGTCAAGATTTGGCTTTGTATGAAATCCTAGCTTTGCATGAAATCCAATCCAATCTTATTATAATTATAAGGACGACTACCGCCACACAGTACATCAACATATTATTTACCTTTCTACAGGTGGGGCACGTCCTCCCCAGATCAGGATTTAGGACGCACTCTTTACAGATGGTGTGACCGCAAGGCAAGCACTTAGGTCGATGGGACACCAGGTCAAAATTGGCAAAACAAATGTCACACTGGAGTTCCATCTAAATTGGGACAGAAAAGAAGAGGGGTACACTGAAAGTAGTTTGAATGAATAAACATGACTTTCAATTAAAATTCAGCTATTGGTTAAATGGAAGTTAAATATTAGACTTACATTAATAAAGTATGTCCCGTTCAAGTATAATAGGTCGGAAAACGGAAGAACTGGAGCTATGATTCGGGTGCACAACTGTTGCTTATGTTAACAGCTCAGTAGAACGATTGATCCAACGTTGCTCTTCCTCGGGTGGCTGTTTCGCGTGGTGACAACAAAGCACTCACAGGCGGTTCAAACCGTACATAGGCGGCACAAGCAACTACACAAAGAATAACACTGAGGGTCGACGAAGTAAGAACTACGCGGTAGCAGAGGAGGTATCTGTGGCACGGAAACACGATTTCGAGTAAAACGAAGTTGAACGTCAGATTCAGGTTATGTGTTCGGTTGAGTGAATCAAAACACGCTGCAGGCGTTTTTTTCTTCTCCTCAGCTTTGCCAACTTCTCGCCGGCGGTACGGAGGGTGGGGGGCGCGCGCGTTTTTGAAGGCCTTTTTTTAAAAACTCTGCCAGACAGGGGGCATGGTTCACCACCACCGGGTGCATTGTCGAGCCGCGTCTGGGTAACAGCCTAACAATGATCACCTTTGCTCTCCGAGTAGTCGGCTCCCCACGCGCCTGCCCAGCGCCCACACCAAAAATAGTGATCAATTATAAATGTCAAGATCCATAGGCGAATGCACAAAGATATCTCGCAAAAAGACGCATCAACAACAAACTAGGGCGACAAAATTTTCTTGACCATGGGTTCGTTTTGTAGTTAACAAGAACGGATACGAATAAGGACGAGGCGGGCAACATCTTGTTTTTCATCCAACGCCGTGAAGGTAGGCAACCCGTCGCGCTGCCCGCTAGCGACAATTTCCCTTTTCTCCCGCACAATCCCCTCTTTTCCCTCCGATGCCCGCTAGCGACAATCCTGTCCCTTCTACCTGGGGCCCTTGCCCGCTAGCGACATACGCCCATTCAATGTTCGATTCTTCCTCTTCTTTCCTTGGCTTTGTCTCGCCCGTACAGCGTCGCTGTCGTCAGGAGAAGTGCGTGGCGTCCGGCTGGAACGTCGCGCAGCACCCCGCACCGGCACCCGTCGGACAGGCCTGGGAGGCCAGCACCACGGCCTCGACGGTGTCCGTGATGAGGCGGTTCCGCGTCTTTGTTTTGATGAGATTGATCTTGCTACAACACCGCTCACCCTGGGCGTTCGAGTGTGGGGCTGAGAGCGCCCGGAGACAAAACAGGGGTAGAATTGTAAAGATCTGCTCCCCGCAAGCATCAGTTAAGCGCAGAACTTCATGCTAAAACTCGTCTGGCTCCGTCAGCAGCCCACGAAGGTTTGCCGACAGGGGGGTCAAGGCCCTTCGTAGGCTCCGCCACTCCTCGTCAAGGTGTCGTCGTCTTGCTCGACACAGCGCGGGAGCAGTCGGGCGAGGGGGAGGATGCTCTCCGGTCGACGGCCTTCCCCTTCCCTTCGGCCGGCAGAGCAGTTCCAGAGGGGCGGCGCCGCCCGCTTTGGGGACATTCCAGACCCTGCGGCCCCGGGGTTCCCCGGCGTCCCCGGCATAGCCCTGCCCTAGCCGTAGATTGACCGCGACACCACAGTAACCGTCCTCAGGTACGATCCTTGCGATAAGGTAGCTCACCCCCTTCCCCCACCTACCAGCTGCTGGCTCATAGGCACCACGCACTTCTGAAGTTGGTCTAGGAAGGGGGGTTACTGCAAAATATCCAGTTTTTACGAGAAACAAAAGTACTGTTTTACGTGGTTTAAAAATAACAGCGCTGTCGATCTATCCTCCACTCCACTTCTTTATCTAATTTATATTCTGCCATAACGAGGAGTCGAACTGCAGCAAATATCTACACATGGTCAAAGCATTGAAAGGGGATTAATTTGAGAACTTTTTCTAGTACAATTTAGAGGCGGAGGGGTTTAAGTTAACTTTACTCATTTTTCATCCGTTCATAAATTGTTGCGCAAGGTAATTTGCAGTACCGCGATTGCAGAACACACGCCAGCGGACAGCGGGTTTTGTACCAGGTGGCTGATTCACGCCGCGCACTGTTGTAGTTATACTGTACCACATGCACGCGTGCGGGCGGGCCTACTCGCACGAGCCATAAGGAGCCGTGCGCAGCGAGCATAGGCAAACCCGCCCGCACGCGTGCATGCGGTACAGTATAACTAGAAAAGTGTGCGGCGTGAATCAACCACCTGGTACATTGAATCAGCATAGTGTAACATTGAAACTGGGGTTACTCGTACGTTCACACAGTGCATGGTGTGGTCGTTTCAGATCTCTCTCCTTCATTCCTGCACGCTGAGCTAAGAAATGTCGACATAGTAAACATAAAATCTAAATTACTCTATTTTCCTCTACAGGTATTTCTGACGGATACTATCGCCATGCTGACTCAACGTGATGTTTGCGGCAAGAAAGCTGCGAATATCGCCATCCACATGAGAACCCACACGGAAGACAAACCTTTCGAGTGCAATGTGTGCAACAAGAAATTTGCAACGAAGCAAACGGGAAGTGCATGTCAGAACTCAGAATCCACACAGAGGAGAAGCCTTTTGCCTGCACTTTGTGTGATAAGAAATTTTCGCAAAGTGGTCATCTGATCGCCCACAGCCGGACCCACACCGGAGAGAAGCCTTAAGGGTGCAACGTGTGCGACTACAGGTGCGCCTCGAGTGGAGGTCTCGAGAAACACCTCCGCATCCACACCGGGGAGAAGCTCTTCGGGTGCACGGTGTGCGACAAGAAATTCAGTAGCTGTGGAGACCTGCGCAAACATCTCAGAACCCACACAGGAGAAAAGCCGTTTCAATGTGATGTCTGCAGCAAGGGTTTTTCCACTGGAGCACATCTCCGAAACCACGGGCGTACCCACACAGGAGAGAAGCCGTATGCGTGTACGGTGTGCGAAATGAAATTCAAGGTACCGAGCAATCTGAAAACTCACAATCGTATCCACACAGGGCAGAGACCCTTCGAGTGTGACTTGTGTAACAAGAAATTTTCACAGGGCAGTCATTTGCGTACACACCGCTTTACCCACACAGGAGAAACCCCCTTTGAGTGTAGGCTCTGCGACAAGAAATATGTGTCGACCGGCGGTCTGCGAGCGCACCTCCATCCACACGGGTGAGAAGCCTTACGAGTGCGCGTTGGGTGACAAGAAGTTTGCGCGCCCTAGCAGTCTGCGTGCTCACCTTCGCATTCATACGGGGAAACAGCAACACGAATGCTCTGTATGCAACAAGAAATTTCAGACCAGTACTAATCTTAGCTCGCACATCCGCACCCACACAGGAGAGAAGCCGTTCGAGTGTGTCGTCTGCAACAAGAAATTTTCGCAAAAGAGTAGTTTGGGCTCACATCACCGAACGCACACGGGAGAGAGGCCTTACGAGTGCACCGAGTGCGAAAAGAAGTTCATGGATACTGGCGCTCTAGCTGTTCACCTCCGCACCCACACTGGAGAAAAGCCCTTCGAGTGCACCGAGTGCCGCAGGGGATTCAAGACAAATACAGGGTTGCGCTCACATGTCCAGATCCATGCCGTAGAGAGGAAGTACTAGTGCGAGTGCACGGAGTGCGACGTGAAGTGTTTGAGACCCAGCGCTCTGCGGAGACATTGTTCGAACTCACACGGGAGAAAAGCCTAACGTAGGCACGGAGTGAGGCAAGACATTAGCAGACCCGAGCGAAATGATGGCTCACTTTCGAAGGCATTTGTTTTAGATGCCGGGCCGTGGTTTGTAGCGCGCTCTTAAAAAATGTGTAAAATATTGACATTTGTTTTGGCAGTGTTTATTGTAAGATTACATTGTATTCTAACAATTTAAATGATTAAACTTATTC